GAAGGGAAGGGAAGGGAAGGAAGGGAAGGGAAGGGAAGGGAAGGGAAGGGAAGGGAAGGGAAGGGAAGGGAAGGGAAGGGAAGGGAAGGGAAGGGAAGGGAAGGGAAGGGAAGGGAAGGGAAGGGAAGGAAGGGAAGGGAAGGGAAGGGAAGGGAAGGGAAGGGAAGGGAAGGGAAATTATCTTTCAAGGAATTCACTAAATGGATTCTCTGTTGATTGCTGTGTCTTTGCAGGCCCTTTGGAAAGGACAGGCTACCTGACACCGTGTACGTGTTCCCTCTCATACTGGATGTGTACTGCAGCAAGTAAGCTGTTAAGTTTTGGTCAAGGCAATGAGCTACCTGTTCTGACTTTTGATGCTTCTTATTTCTGACTGCAGTTCACCATAGGCAAACTATCTATAGAATAATCAATACCACATATAGAGTAATCAATATACCACTGCTTTAATTTTGCAGGATCGCAATTCAGCCACCTTTTTTCCATCCATCTGTGAAGACTTTCTGAGTGTGGCATCTCTGCAGTGAGGCTAGACTTTACAGGCTGAAAACACAGGAGATGGTCCTACTCACCTTGTAAATTAGCATCAAAGACTTAAAAATGAGACTTTATTTTGACAACGTGATGGTATAAAAAAGGTATCATCTTACTCTGCAGAAAGACTAATGGAGAGTAAGCAGACGTTACTTCTCGTGGCATTAATAAAAATAAGTCTGTGGAAAGGAAGTGCAGCATTTTCTCCTGCTAGTGAACTAGATTTTACTTTGCCTTTTCTTTACGTGGCAGAATTGTCACACGTCCTACCAAATATTTGCTCTGGCACACTAGGAAAAATCCTACTGGAAATCTGCACACATAAATGTTATCTGACTGGGGAAAATACTTATATTCCTGTGTTCTTACGCAAAGAGAGCATGCTGCTGGAGGTGCCATGGCAATACCTACAGCCTGCACTGCAGACCAGGGATGCACTGGCCCAAGCGGTGCCTCAGCTGCACGCACTCTCTGTCACACACAGCTGACAGTCTAAATAACTGAGACAGGCAAAGGGTAAAAGGGGAAACAGAGATAGAAGAGTATCTTGTCCAAGGCCACGGGGCCAGCCGGCCACCCAGCTGCGATTAGAGAGGAGGCCCCAGCTCACACTGCAGCGTGCACCCAGCAGCTCCAGCTGTGCCGGCCGTGCTCTGCAGAGGTGATAAGTCCCAGCCCGGTCACGCAGCATGTAATGGGAGCCTCTGCTGATAACGGCAGGCTTTGTTGAATTACAGACAAGCACAAGGAAGTCTTCAAAGTCGCTGTGGAATTTGGCTTTCAGAAGCGGAGCAGCATAATTTAAAAGAGCTGCTTTGAATAGCTCCGTGTGTGCCCACTGCCTGATCAGGTTAATTACTTAATTCAATTATTTTTTGAAATCCCTTTAAATTATTAACATTGAAAAAAAAATCAAGTAAAAAATGATAAAAGCATAATTTGATAATCATGTAATAGGGATAGACAATTGTTTTAACAAATGTTCAACTTCTTTTCAGGCCTGAAGCTAAGAATGAAAAGATAGCAATTTGCACATCAGAGAATTACTCGTGGTATTTTTGAAAATGTACCTGCTAAGAATTTAACAAAACATCCTATTTGTGTGTTGTTCTGCATTGTTAATTCAAACAACAATAATACCTATGAAACGTATTTGCCCTTCAACACAGTTTACTGTGCTGTTGTCAGGCAATTCTGTGGAGAGCTATTGCTTCAAAAATAACTTCAAAGGCATATTAATAAAAATAATGCAGTAATGAAGGTTTCTTTCCTTGGGAGAGCCTAAAAATGCTGATGCAGTTTGGAATGCTCTCGTGCCTGTATTGCTGCTGACGGTAGTAAATAACTTCAGCTTACTCAGAAAGGCTGCATCACATCCAGGTTGTGCACCAAGGTATTTCTTTCAGGATAAATGTTGATAAATGATACAGGCATTGTCTGCTCTTTGGATTGTTAAGAAGAAAATCGGTGACTGTTGGATACACAGAACACAGCTTGACTTAGACATGACTCTGGGACTAAGAGTGAACAAGACCACCCGGGGAAGCAGTCTGTGCCCATGAGGTTCCTAGTGCAACCTCTCAGCTTTAACCTCAAGAACCTGGAAATACATCCTTCTGCTCCACAAAAATTTTGCTAAGTGCCTTGCTTCACTTGAATGGTTCTTTGCATTTGGAGAAGATAAAAGTGATCCCCAAGTGATGAACCCGGATGACATCGGGGATGATAATATGGCAAGAAAGTAGAGGAGGAATAAAAGATCTGGGTGAGAAGGAGGAAGTAGTTTTCAACAGCTGCTGATGAGTCTCAGTGTGAAATTGGATTCAGCAAGATCAAGAACAGAAACCCGGTAATGAGTCTTCTACAGAGCTTTAGGCTAAACACAGAGCTTTGTGGTATTTTTAGGAAGAGAAACGTGATGGGAAAGATATTAAAAAACAGTGCTGCAGACAGAGAACTAGGAAGAAAACAATGTCACTGGTTAAAAGGAGGATTCTGAAGATGTGTGCAGAAAACATCATTCCAACACAAGAGAAGGGCTAAGAAGAATAAATATAGGTTGTAGGTACCCTGTAAAAGATGGCCTGAGACACTGACAAAGATTTGTTTGGAAAGATCTATAAATTTCAGAAAAGCATTTCACCTCTCTTGCCCGGATGACGATAGTAACCAGATTTGAGGTAAGCAGACATGAGGTCCAAAAGTTGTCATTCATTTGGGCAATGCCTTCCCTGCTTGAAGAAGCTTCAGCATATCAGTATGTTTGTCTGATAACTCCAGTGATGTGACAATGACTATATTCTCCTCCTAAAGGTTTCTAATGAATGTATATACAAGGGGCATTTATTGGAATTTCTGGAGTTAGTTTCAAGACACATAGTTATATTTTGAAGGTTGTTTCCATAGTGCTTGACAAAAATAATGGCACAGGCTGTTTTCTAAATACATTCTGCAACAATGAAACCAGGTAAATTTATTCTTCACCATTTAATTAGGATATGCATAAGAAATGATTCTAGTGCATGCACTTTTCTAACCTATATACCTTCTGTAGAACATCCCTGACTCTTTCACCTCAGAAGATGAACAGAAGCCCAAGAAAATAATTCTGTATTTTCCTTCTAGCTGCAGAAAAATATTTCATAACTATTAAAGTCAAGTACCGTCAAGGACACTTTCTTCCATGTACTACAATTCAGATGCTAGGAGGATTTTTCTAGGTGAGTTATATGACTACATCTTCTTCATCACCTAATAAATTGGGCCTATGTAACCCATCCAAACTCGGAACAGTAGGTGAAGGACAGTCTTAAGGAGTTCTGTTCTCTCCAGGAGGTCCCAGAAAACTTTTGCCATTACAGCTGTGCTGTTGACAAAAGCTTTTGTCTCAGAAGGTTATAATTTTTTTTTTTTTTTGATGAAACCTGTCAAGCTGGCAAACTGTTTTATAACTTTTGAAAACAGGACCATGTCCAGAGTGTAAGTGGCTTGCACTGGATGTATTAAGGAGAACCCAGTACATACAGTAAATGTGGAGTGTACAGAATAATGAGAACTATGAGTGTTGGGGGGCAAACATGAGAGCCTGAATTTTTATTCATTTTTCAAAATAAATATCAGCATTTAAAAATATTTCCCACAATACCCAGAATGCATTTGCAGTAGTAGGAAAAATGTTAAATGTTATATATATTTATTAATATATCAAGATAAAAGAAATTCTAAAAAAAAAAGAAGTCTAAGTTCTACACCCAATGACTCAGTACCACACTGCCTGTTACTTACATGGGAGTGCTACCCTTCAGATTTCATCGGAGGTCATCAGCATAAGCCCAGAAGGATGAATGTTAATTACTCATCCTAAAAACGTTAATTATTTTTAGCAGAAGTAATCTCCACAAAGTCTCGAGAACTGAAGTCTTGGGAAATTGAGCCCTCCTTTTTCATATATATATGTGTATACGCACACGGAGCTGGTGCAGACAGCGCAGCCTGTTCTAGCCCTGCCGTACTGCTGAAACTCTCCAAGTTTCTGCGTTCTCTATAGAACTGCCTCGTGACTGTGTGCAGTAATCAGCTCTGCAGCTTCTTGTACGCTGCACAGACCGGTACTTTCTTTCACAGAAGTTTTATCCAAGGTTTTGTTCTTCGATTTAAGGAAAGAAAGGAGGGGAGGAAGGGAGAGAAAGAACTGAGGAAAAATAAGGAAGGAGAAAAATAAGGAAGGAAGCCAGGCAATACTATGCAGAATTGTACAGATTGGGAAAAGTTGACTTCACTGAAGTGATAGCCACAACTTCTTTGCTTCTCTGTAACTGCAAGTGCCTGCCCTGGATCTCACCTGCAGGATTTAAAAATCAGGCATGAGTAAAAGGACAGCCAGCAAGCGGATCTGCTCACACCAGACCTGCCAACGGGCTTAACAGAGGAAAACCCAACTTTGCTGCATTTGCAGGGACTAAATGATCCGGGCTCTGCTGGAGGGTGGTGGGCAGAGTTCCTCAAAACGGAGGCCCCCTCGCGCCCTGCCAGCTGCCGCTGGTACCTGGTTGCGGAGCTCAGAGGTGGGGCTCGCTGCTGAGCCGGGCTTGGCTGCGTGCCACGGGGAGAAAAGCCATCTCTCAAGGAACTGGGCTCAGTTCCACACAACTGTGTCCAAGCATGATAAAGCACTCATAAACCCAACAGCTTGGCGAGAAAATTACTTATAAAGGCCACAAAGCTGCCCCCCCTGGTTTGACAACACCTGGGTGACAGCCGGCCCCAAGCAGCCGCTGTGGGCACGGAGCCGCCTGCCCCGACGGGCGGCTGCTGCTGGCAGGGCGCTGGGCAGCGCGGCCAACACCTCTCCGCCTCCTCCTCCTCCTCCTCGTCCCGGTCCCGCTGCCGGGGCACCTCCCGCGGTGTTTACGGCTCAATGGAGGGCCGGGCCGCCGAGGGCGCGTCAGAGCGGGGCGGGGACGCGGGGCGGGGGCGGGCCGGGGTCGGTGAGGCCGGGCCGGGTGCGGGTGCGGTGGGTGCGCGCTGCCCCGCGGCTGCGGGGTCCGGGGGCGGCTGCCCGCCTGCGCCCCGCGGCATGGGGCTCGGGCTGCGGCCGAGCCCGCGGGGGCGGCGCTGAGCGAGGCGGGCGGCCCCCGCTGCTCCCTCCGCAGCCCCGGGGGGAGGAGGCCGGGCGGCGGCGGCGGCGGCGGCAGCCGGTGCCCGCGGGCGGCCGGGGCTCGTAGCGGCGGGGCTCGGGACCCGGAAGCAGAAGCGGCGCCGGGAGGCGGCTGGATGGGAAGGAGCGGCGGCGGCGGCGGGCGGCGATGGGGGAGCAGCAGAGCTCGCTGAGCGCCCCGCCGGCACCGGCCGCCGCCGCCGCCGCCGAGCCGCCGAGCCCGGCCGGGAGCCCGCGGGAGCCCGGCGCGGACGAGCCGCCGCTGCGGGAGGCGGCGGGGCCGGGGCAGAGCGGGGAGCCGCCGCCGCTGCCCGAGCGGCGAGGGACCGGCGGGGACGAAGAGGAGGAGGAGGAGGAGGCGGCGGCCGGGCCGGAGCAGCCGGCGGAGGAGGGGCCGGGGCCGGAGGGGGGCAGCGGCCGCCGCCGCCCCCCCCGTCGGCACGTGTACTGCACCGTGTACTGCGTGGAGAACGACCGGCCCGCGGCACGCCGCGCATCGCCGCCCTCCCCCGGGGGCGGCGGCGGCGTCGGGCGGGCCCCGGCTCCGCTCCCGGCTCCGGTCTCGGTCCCGGTGCCGGTGCCGGCCCCGTCGCGGCGCGGGGTGGCGGCGGGCGGCGACCCGCTGGCGGCGGGCGGCAGCGTGGAGGTGGTGGACTTGTACCTGCTGCCAGAGCCCTTCTCCGGGCTGATCGCGGGGGACTTCGGGCCGCTGCTGGTGCTGAGCTGCCGCGTGTGCCTGGAGGAGAAGCCCGTCAAGCCGCTGTCCTGCTGCAAGAAGGCGGTGTGCGAGGAGTGCCTCAAGCGGTACCTCAGCTCCCAGGTACGGCCCCAGCCCCGGGGGACCGGGGGCACGGCGGCGGGCAGGGACCCCGGGGGACGGAGGGCTGTGCAGGCTGCTGCCTGGCCGCCGGTTTGCCAGCCGGAGTGCTGTTTCAAAGCGAAATCAGCAGCTTGAAAGCTAACCTCTGGCCTCGCTAGTGTTCCTAGGAGCTGGTTTAGCATCACACAGCGCTCGGGCATTGTTTCCGCCACCGGCGTAGGCGTGCCCTGAACCCGAAGAGCAACGGGAGAAGTTGGGCGGGTGGGAAAAAAACAAACCAAAGCGAGCCCTGTGCCGTACGCCTTCTCGTACGAGCTCGGGAGGAACACTTGCGACGTGCAGAGGGGACGTGCTGGGTGGCTGGTAGGATGTGTTTCTACACCTGCTGGCCCCGGGAGCCGTGCCGGGGTGGTCCGAGCTCCAGCTGGACGGCGTGCCTCGGGGCTGGATGGGCAGCTCCAGCTCCGTCGAGCACTGTAAATAGATGGAGGCTCCTCTGAGCTGCAGCATCGCACGGCTTGGGATGTGCACGTGCCTGGCTGGGTGCTGACAAGCCTGCACAGCACTGGGTAATGCTGGTGGTGTTTGTCTTAGCTAACATGAATCTCACCGAGGTGCTCATGGAACACCTTCATCATGTTTAGATAACTCATAAGGGCCTTACGTGGGAACTGATGGGGTGAGAGGAGCTGAGGATGTGCTTTTGTACATCTCCTGTAACACAGAAATTCAGGAACAGCTTAACAAGACTTCTGCACGCAGCCCTCAATGCTTTGGTTTGGTTTGTAGTCAAGTGATGAGCTGGAAACTTGGAAAGTTTTTAGAGTACATTGCCAATACGTGTTTGTGCCTCCTTCATATTTGCCACCGAGGTCATGTGTTAGGATATTGTCTCACTTTGGAGATTGCAAAGTGGTGTGACATGAAGGTATTAATCTTCAGCTCCTGTAGCTGCACACAGCCTGCTCTACATGTTGATATGATGAGCTGTGGTAGCTTTTTCCTCATTAAAACAAGTAGTAAAATATCTGGGGGAATGGCCTGGCAGTGTCTTCAGGCATTGCCCTCAAGAGACTTCCCTGTCACTGGAGGTATTCACAGTTGGGTTAGATGGGGCTTTGAGCAATCTGGTCTAGTGCAAGATGTCCCTGCCCATGGCAGAGGGGCTGGACTAGATGGTCTTTATGGGCTCCTTCCAACCCAAAGCATTCTGTGATCAAATCTGAATGTCTACAGTGTAGGCGTAAACACTGAATACATTTGGCTAGGCCCCTCTTTTGATCAGTGAAGAAGAGATGTTTTTAGAGTGTAACATGTCTAAAATAATTGAAATACCCATAAACACACATGTTTTGTCCCAGTTGTTTCCTTTGAGCAAGAAGGGAGGTAGGATCTCACCAGGCCTGGGAAGAAGGTGTACCAGAGCAAGATTCAGCCTCAAATCCAAAATAGTGTTGGTTCCGAGCTAAAGCAATACAGAGAATTGCTTACATTGACCCAACTGATCTATGTGATCTGGTGTCTGAAGCTGTACCTAAGAACTAAGGTATAGCCTGGTTTTGTCTGGGCTCTTTGAGGGTGATCCAGTGGCTTGGTGGCTGAAACAGCTGCTGGGCTTGGGAGCCAGGTGAATACCCCATGAAGTGGATTTAGCATTGGCCAGCTGCTTTATGTACATACAGGGATGCTCTCTTCAAGGAAGCCACTGCTATTGCTGAGCACTCTGCAAAATTTATCCCAGAAGCTATTAAAAGGTCCACGTGGCAGATAGCCATATTGATACACGTAAAAGATGGAGCAGGGATACAAATGCAGAGAAAGAGAAGTCTGCAGCAAGTCAGGTGATCTTGAGATGGGGTTTCACGAAACGGTTTTGTGGACATACAGACTTCAGTTGCAGACGCTATGTTCTGGCCAGATAGAATTTTAGTTGCTTGATGTATTTGTTTGGGGAAAAGGGAAAACAAACACCTTCAAATATCCATGTATTTTTACCGTATCTCCCTTTTTTTTGAGAAGAACAAGTGTTATTTCTTTGAGAAGAACAAGAAGTGATGTATCTTTCCTTCGTGCTGTGGAAGGACCCTGTGACCTTCCAGCAGGCCGAGGGAGGTGATTTTCCCCCTCTGCTCTGCTTATGTGAGACCCTACCCGGAGTGCTGTATTCAGCTCTGGGGCCACCAGCACAAGGACGTGGAAGTATTAGAATGAGTCCAGAGGAGGTCTGTGAAGATGATCAAAGGACTGGAGCTTGTACAGCCTGGAGAAGAGAAGGCTCTGGGGAGACCTCATTGCGGTCTTCCAGTGCCTAAAGGGGGCCTACAGGAAAGCTGGTGAGGGACTCTTTGTCAGGGACTGTAGTGATAAGACAAAGGGGAATGGCTTTAAACTAAAGGAGGGTAGGTTTAGATTAGATATTGGGAAGAAATTCTTCACTCGGAGCATGGTGAGGCCCTGGCACAGGCTGCCCAGAGGAGCCGTGGATGTCCCATCCCTGGAGGTGTTCAAGGCCAGGCTGGATGGGGCTTTGGGCAACCTGGTCTGATGGAAGGTGTCCCTGTCCATGGCAGGGGGGTAGAACTGGATGGGCTTTAAGGACCCTTCCAACCCAAACCATTCTGTGACTCATCCTGAGGAGAGAGGGAAAAGGCCTGTCATATCAGAGGAATTTCTGGGAAGATGAGTGGAAAGACAGTATAGGATAAAAATAAAATCATCTTTGAGACTTAGCACTTCATTTAGTAATTTCCTTCCTAAGAAGAAAACTTAACAAAAGTTTGAAAAGAGTACATGCTGGAAAGCTGGTACTTTTCAAAAATTGTAACATTTTCAATTTGGATACAGTCAACTTTGTGTAGGAGTGTACCTGAAACTGATGGTAGGAGAGTGGCAGGAGAGATAAGAAACTGGAATGTGTGTTTAGGTCTGCTTTCTGTGTCAGCGAAGTAGCAAGCTGTGCCCTTTGTTTGAGAGGACACTGACTCCAAGTCTCTGGAGAAGGAGTGGTCTTTTATGCTGAAAATGTGGTGTATATTGGCAGAAGTGTAACACTTGAAAGAAATTGTCTTTAATGTCTGTTTGTTTTACCCCTGAAGAAAGCTGGAGTCTCAATGATGGCTTCAGTGTGATTTCTGAAATGACGCTTAATGGAGTAGCAAAGTAAAAACCCTGTTAATGCCTTGTAATGTCTTCTGTGCAGATGTATGACTGCATCAAAACTTCAGCCTTAGAGCACTTTATAGATCAGAAAATCAACTGAAGCTTTAGGTGCTATTGAAAATGAGTTTATCTAGATGAAAATGCTTTGACTGCAGAGTTCTCTCCTTGTTTTACGGATGTGGCGGAAAATGGGGGCAATTGATTTAGGAGTGTTGCCTTGGGAAGGTCCTTGGAGGTCAAATCCAGTCTCTCTTATCACTGGCACCTTGCTGTGTAATCCCTTTCAAGGATTTAATGCCTGGTGTAGAAGCTTATCAGGTGAGCCAGCTCCCAGGCTGATCTGGAACCTGACTTGTAGTAAGTGGCATAATTTTACCTCTGCCTCAGTTCAGTTATTCTTTCTCTGGGCCTTATACTCACAGACCCCTCAGGGCTTTTTAAGTTCTGACTAAGAACACCACCTACTATTCTTTTACATAAATAAATAAATAAACTGTATCATTTTGTACCCCGGGAACTCAAGGAAGGCATAGGTATGTGTACTAGGTTATCGTGAATGGGGTTGTAGTTTGGGGTAGAAGTGTAGGTCCTGCGGAGCCCAGCTGAGGTCACGAGAAGACCCACCTCCTGGAATGGATGCAGCCCAAGCTGCTCTGTGTTGGTACACTACTAGCTCACATGAGCGAGCACAAGTGTTGGAGATGGCTGTGCTCTTTGAGGACTGTGGTGCTCACGGAGATGATCTTACTGGGTGCTGAGGAATGTGCCCAGTTAGGCAGGAGTCAGAAGGGCGAATGAACTGCTTCTTCAGCTGCTGGCTGTATGCTTCTACTGGTCCTTGTGCTTACAGCCTGTAACCTGGGGAGCAGGGGAAGAACTGGGGTGTTTGATCCCGCAGGTGTAGTGTTGCATTCACAATTCCTTCACTTCACATCTTCCTCTACATTTAACATTGCACCAAACGAGGTTTATTCCAGAAGCTGTGTGCACACAGATTTGCTAAATGAGTGATTCACTTCCTAACCTCTCTTGTCTGCTTGTAAATCTGAGTCAGAGGGAGTATTTGTGCCTGGTTTTGCTTTTTGTGCTATGTGTGTCTGGGTGGGGGGTTGCTCAGAAATTTTCTGCGCAAATAGACTAATCGCCATAGGAAGAAATTTCTCGTAAGAAGAGAGGGTGAAACCTACAGTTTAACCGGGGTGTTATATTTAACTTGTCCTGCACTGCTAAACAGGCTAAGGTTTATGTGTTTTCATCTCTCTAATCTGTAAACCTGATGAGTGCTATGCAGAACAACAATCTCACTCCTCACTTTTCAGTAAATATTGAATAGACCAAAATAGCATTTGCTCGTTCTAACATCTACGATGTACAGTAAGTTATTAAATGCATGAAGATATATATAATAGTATCTGTACTTGTTTCACTTTTCTTATAAAGTCGCTGTAAATGTTTTATAGAAACCTTGGTGACTTGACTGCCTGCTCTTCTACCTCTGAACTGGGAAACTTGATAATCCAGTTTTGATCTTATGCTCATTAGCAATGCTCTATTTTGTAGATCTTGTAATTCTCTTGGAGAAGTAATTTCTTATATTAAAGGACTTTGGATGAGTTAATTTAAGCAGCCTACAAATCAGATATTGTGGTGCTTTAATTACAGGAATGCTAATCAGATCAGTGGATGTGGATAAATCGGAAGGGGATGTAGGGGCGGGGAGGGGTTGCGGCCGGCAATGCTCAGTGTCTGGCTGGCTTTGGTGGGACAAGAATTCTACTCCGCTCTCCTAAGTATGAAATGCAGGGTTTATCCTCCCTCTACCTGGAATCTGTTACTGGTTT